CCACGTGACCTCTTGGTCTGGGGATGGCAGATCTCTTACATTTCTTGTTTTGTGAGCCAGGGTCTCACTTCGTAGCCCAGGTTGGCCTCCCAGTTCTCCTGTTTTAGCCTCCTGTGATCCTGCTGGGATTACAGGCGTACACCTCCACGCCTGGCTCTCCCCTTCGTTTTCTCCTGGCTTCATAAGCAAATCTTCATTTGCCTTGAGTAACCTGTTCATGAGGAGCCAGGTCCATATGCATCCAGGAAAGACTGCTTTTGGAAGGTGTAGGGAAAGCGCTGCTGGTGGCCTGTCCCCTGGTGTCACTTTACAATAAGACTGCTTTCCATGGAGTCCTTACAGCATGAGCTGGTGCAAAACCCAATGGGGACAGCGCCCCCTAGAGGCCAGTACCGTCATTTCAGAATGAGTTTGAGGATCAGAAGGTTCTGATGGTTTGCAAGTCACCCTGGGCAGCAGAACAGAAGGGGCCGTCCCAATAAGGGGGCCACAGGCACCCGGAAGCTTCTGAAGGCCAAAGGATTTGAGGGTGCTTTGAGTAGCCTGCAGGTCACAAATGCAGAGCACTTCAGGGTTTAGGATCATGTGGGGTTAAGCCAGAAACCACTGGTGTGCAATCGTGCTGTAAGCAAGAGGCAGAATTGGGATGTACGTCCAAGTGTGTCTGACTGAGCCCCACAATCTGTGGGCTCAACTCCCACCCCACACAGGCACCGATTCCTTACAAAGCTTCATTGAGATATAATTAGTATAACGTAAGATTCAGATACATCCATCACCAGTCTGGCTTCTTTTACTCCGGGTCTGTCCGGCTATGGCAACCATAAATCCACCTTGGCTTCCATAGATTGCCTTGTTCTGTACGTTTTGTCCCGTTGGAATGGTATGATATAGGCCTTTTGTAACCAGCGTGTGTATGATATTACACAAGTATGATACTTCTTAGCATGATAGTTTCAAGAGTCACACATGTCATAGCATGTATTCATGCTCCACTTTTTTCTGGCTAAATAATATTCCACCATGTGGACAGACCACATTTTTTCTTTGGCTATGGACATTTGGGTTGTTTCTACTTTGTAGCCACTGTGACTAGTGCTCTGTGACCACCCATGACAAGTTTTCCTGTCCTTTTTTTTTGTTTTGTGTTTGAGACAGGATCTGACTGTGTAGGTCAGGCTGGTCTGGTATTGGTGATCCTCCCGCCTCAGCCTCCTGAGGGCTGGGATTACATGCAGCTGTACACTTTTTTAAATCACATTTTATCTCTTTTATTAGAGACCAAAGGAAAAGCTATAAACACATGCTTCTCTGAGCAATGTTACCAGCACTGATTGGGGCAGCAGAAGCATCGAGAACAGGAGCAGATGAGGGTGGTGAGAAACGGAGAACCTCTGTGTCAGCATACAAAAGCGATTGGTTCTTTCCCTCATTCGATAAGCATCTATCAAAATATCTCCTGTGGGCAGGAGTGTAGCTCAGTGGTAGAGCTGGGTTCAATCCCCAGCACCACAGGAAAAAAAATTAAGGTTGGGCACTGGTGGCTCACACCTGTAATCCTGGCTACTTGGGAGGCTGAGATTGGGAGGATCAAGGTTAGAGGCCAGCCTGTGCAAATAATTCATGAGACCCATCTCCAAAATAACCAGAGCAAGATGGACTGAGGTGTGGCTCAAGCATCAGAGCACCTGCTTTGCAAGCACAAAGCCCTGAGTTCAAATCCCAGTCATACCCCCCACCCCCTCCAAAAAAAAGGTACCTACACATCTCGAGGTTCCTGGCATGGCACTGATCAGCTTTGCCAACAGATGGTGACGTGGTCCTGCAAGGTTGTGCTAGTACAAGATTGCCGTGAAATGATGTGGACAGAGGGGACTTGTGTGCCTGTGGTCCACTGCTCTGCCGAGGCCGTGAGGGAGAGCAAGGCACGTGGAACAAGGATGCATTTGAACAGCTAAGGGGTAATGGAATTTGCAAGGGCTTCTCCCCAGAATGGACGCACAGGGTGGGGTGGGCACTTGGTAAAGATCTTCATGCCAATGAGGGTCAAAGACTTATCCTCTGGCATATCCATTGCTAGGAAGTTTATCTGCCAGTAAACATGCTAGGACACAGGGATGGGGACATGGCTCAAGTGGTAAAGCAAGCCTTGAGTTCAACTCCCAGTACAACAAAATAGGAAAAAAGTAAAATGGTATGTCCAAAAAAGCACAAGCAGCAAAAACAAAAAAACCCAAAAAACTCAGGAAGAAACTTCATCAAAATTAAACATCTATGCCTCCAAGAACACCATTAAAAAAGTAAAAAGTCAAAAAAAAAAAAAACAGAGAAAATATTTGCAAACCAGACCCAGAATATAGAAAGAACTAGAACAACTCAAAAATGCAAAGACAAATCCATGGATGTAGGTGGATATCGTCAAGGAAGACATGCAAGTGGCCGGTAGGTTCCACAAGGATGGCTGGAATGAGAAGAAAAACCCAGACAGTAACAAGTGCCGGCGAGGACATGGAGCAGCCCCGTGGGAGCGAGGTGGTCGCTGCTCTGGAGACTCTGCCGCTGCTCACAAGGGGAAAAAGAGTTACCAGATCTGACCCCGCAACTTCACTCCTGTGGATCCCCCAGAAAACGGAAAATGTGCGTCCACACGAGACCTATATGAGTTTTCAAGCAGCTTTATTCACCCCAGCCGAAATAACCCAAGTGTCCATCAACAGAGGAGTCATAGACAAGATGTGGTATGTGTGTGCACACGTGTGCCCACGTACAGTGTCACATGACGAATATTACTCAGACATGAAAAAGGAAGCACTGACCCGTGCGACCACATGGATGAGCCTCGAGGTTCTTAGTGGAAGAAGCCTGGATGCAAATGACTACAGGTTACAGGACTGCATTTATATGAAAATCCATAGACAGAAAGTAGATTGATGGCTGCCAGGTTTGGGGAGGGCGGATGAGGGGTGACTGCTAATGAATACAGAGATTCTTTGGGGGGGTGAATGGAAAAGTTCCAAAATTGCTTGTGGTGATGGTTTTGCACAATTCTGTGAAAACACTGAAGTCATCATCTAATACACTTTAAATGGATGAATTGCATGGCAAGTGAATTTTATCTCATTAAAGCAAAAAAACAAAAAAATCCCAACTGCTAGATTATTTAACATGGAAAAACATTCCCATTGCATGGCTAGGTGCAAAAGGGAAAAACTCTCAGGGCTGCGGGCTGCTCAGCCCCGGGCGTCACTCCTCGTTAACTTTCTGTTGCTGTGACAAAACACCTGAGAAAATCAACTTAAAAGGAGGAAAGGCTCATTTTGTGTCATGATTTCAGAGGCTTCAGCCCATGGTCACTTGGCTCCATTGTTTCTGAGGCAGAGAATCCTGGCAGGAACACTTCATGGTGTCCAGGAAGGAGGGAGGAGGGAAAGAGAGAGAGAGAGAGAGAGAGAGAGAGATATGGGGGGGGGTGAGAGAGAGAGATTGAGAGGGAGAGGAGATTGAGAGAGAAGAGAGAGAGAAAGATTGAGAGGGAAAGAGAGAGGAGAGGGAGAGGAGAAAAAGAGAAAGAAAGGAAAGAGATTGTGAGAGAGAGACAGTGAGAGAGACAGTGAGAGAGCGAGAAAGAGGAGAAAGACAGACAGAGAGCGAGAGGAAAGAGATTGAAAGACAGAGAAAGCAAGAAGAGACATTGAGAGAGATTGAGAGAGGGACAGAGAGGAAAAAGATTGAAAGAGAGAGAGACAGTGAGAGAGAAGAGAAAGAGACATTGGAGGGGTGAGGGAGAGAGAGAGAGGGAGAGAGGGAGAGAAGAGATTGAGAGAGAGGAGAGAGGAGAGAGAGAGAGAGGGAGGAGAGAGTCACCACAACCACGTGCATCCTCTGGGACACATCCACAGTGACCTCCTTCGTCCACCAAGGCCCCTGCTCCTGAAGCCTCACCAGCTCCCAGTGGCTCGTTCCAGCTATAAATCCACCAGTGGACAAACCCACTGACGAGGTCAGAGCCCTCAGGACCCTGTCCCTCCCAGAGGCCGCACCTCTGAGCACTGCTGCACGGGGCCCAGGCCTTCCGGGATCACATGAGCTTCTGGGGGACATTCCAGATCCAGCCCATAGCACCACGTGACTGATACTTCACACAGTGAAATGAAATGTGGGGTCCCATCACCACACACCTATGCACCCTGGGCAGAAGGTGGCCCTGGCCGCCTGACCCCAGTGGGCCTGGCATGTGTCGCTCTTCATCTGCCCAGTGCTCTCCGGGTCACACGCTGGAGCCACAGTCAGGAGCCATTCACCTGTTTACAAGACGTAAAGTATAATGGGGTCCCATTTTCATCTTTATATATTAATATGCAAATGTGTGTGTGTGAAAATAGAAACACACCCGAGAGTAAGAGTGGTCAGTTGTCCACAGATGGAAATATTACAGAAGCTTTTGTTTTTCCTCCATATTTCGTTTTGTCTAATTTTCTACAATGCAGTGCATTACTTTGTAGTCTGAAAAAAAACACAAAACTTATCATAAAATACTAAGCGTATCTTCCATCTAAAGCCCACAAGAGAACTTGACTTTAGACATTGCTTTCTTTGAGGAAGCAGTGGTGTTAACTAATAATTGCATCATCATCAGGGCTTATTTCCCTTTTTGCCCTTCCTGCCAGGAAACTCACCTGCATCGGCTGTGCTGCTGTCTTCTACTTGCACGTCTGCCTTCTGTTTTCCATGAGTTCTAATTCTACTTTACAAGCCCAGATGACATAGGTATGCATTTCCTTGAATCTTTTTTTTGGAAAGACAAAAGAACCACAACTAGTAAAGTTCTATGAATGAGAGAGGAAAAAGTAAACGGCAGCCCGTGGTTCTGGAGCTTAAAAGACTAGCTTTG